ACCTCACTTCTCATTGCATCCCCTGCCCAAGAAAGGCCATGCTTTTTTACGTTTCCCCTCTGGAAATGCAATGGTTGACAGTCCGTCTGACCCACAGGGATCCAGCTGGACAGACATGCTGTCCGTAGATACCTGACTGCACCCTTCAGTCAACCTCAACCCTAGGGTGTACATTTATTTTTGCTTTATCAGGGCACCAAGCTGCTGCAGGGTGATATGGAGGAGAGGAAGGAGAAAAATATCCACACCAAATTACTGCAGTTTTTTTAATTAAGAGGGGCAGGACCTGATATAAAAAGTCAGTGAGGTGGAGGGAGACAAGTGCTGGTGTGAAGTCCACGGGAGGTCTCATTTGCTTAAATTAGACAACTCCACAAGGGCTCACATGGATGAAACCCACTGTGCTCTCTCGGTGGCTGCCCAAGCAACTCCACTGAGCATTCCCAAACCTGCTACCCCCTTATATCAAAGACCCCCACTTACACCAAAACTTCTCCCAGCAAGTACCAAGTGTCTGACCATAAACCAAGGCACCCTTATTTTATTCCAAGCCTGGCCAACATGATGGAGGTCACATGAAAATAATTGAACAACTCACTGTAGAAGAAAGGGGGGGGGGGGGGGGAACCCAACTCATGAATAATCTTTGCAGCTCTTGCTATGGACAGGATTTGTACAGCCATGCTGATTTTTTTATAAAAATAGTAAATCGTATTACCCCCATGCTGCAAGACCAAAGATTCACAATGATACCTTAATGCAGCTTAAATAAAAATAGCACTACCTGAGTCAATCTGAGCATGATAATGCTTTGTAATCCCAAACTATTAGAGGATGAACAGTTGTATAGCAGTGAATCAACACACAAGATATTTGCATTATACATTCATGCTATAGCAACATCTATACAAAATGCAGAAGGCAGGTGGTGTTTGTAGGACACACAGTACATGATGGGGAAAACCAGCGCTATTATAGAATAAACCAAGTCTGGTACCCCACTACCTCCCAGCTTGACAACCTTTAAAATTTAAAAAGAAAAGCCTGCTTTTAAATTTTTTCCATCACAGTAAAGAATTCATGAAAAAGTTTGAATTTTTTAAATTTTTGAAAAGTGGGTGATCCCCAAGTTTTGTGCACCCAGACAGAATATTCATTCATAAAAAAAAACATGGATGAGCAGCAGTGTGCTACGTTCATTTGGGTTTTTTCCATAATATCCTTTAACAAGCAAACAGCGTATACGGAAAGCAAATGTGCCATACAACACAGAAAAGCCTCAACAGTGAAGATACTAATAAAACCTATTTATAATAAAAACGTAGAAGACAAAGACTAAAATAGCAATTTTTAAACGTGGTAAGGAGGAAAACTGCAAGCTTTGATTAGTGACACATGAAACCATAATGAATTCTTCTTAATTACTTCGTTACATAAGCCACTCACACAAGGTATTTCATTTGCTATTGTGCTCCCCATTTATTCTATTTTAAGACACATTTTCCAATTAATTGCACTTTTTTTCCTCCACTGCGGTATGTATGGCAGACATCTGGCCCTTGCAGCTTCCTCCGGAGGGTTTCAACAGACTGTGGGGAAAGGTAACAGGAAAATGTAACAACACTGAAAGGTCTCCCTTTCCCCAACAGGATGCGAATCCTCAAGCCAGGGGGTTTCCTAAGGCTGTAGCACAGAGGATGCTCAGGGAAAGGGGAAAACAGCTTCAAATTCCCCCTTGTCTTGTCGGCTCCCTCCTCTTCTGCCCCAGTGCTCAGCCCGGTTCTGCAGCTGGTTTTTCCTCCCTACAGAGCCCAGATGCTCACAGGGAAGGTGACACCACAGGACCCTGGATATGGGGACACAGGTGTATTGTGGAGAAGCCAGGGAGATGCTGGCAGGAAAAGTAGAAGAGAAGCTCTGCCAGGAGGTGCTGGGACTCAGGGACGAGGACATCCCGGTGAGGGGGAACATCCTAGTGATGGAGAAGGTCCAAGAGCCAGGCCATGGGGAAGGTGCCCATGGTCCCACTCTACGCACAGGAGTATTTCCAAAAATGCCCCAGCACCAACAACAAGTTGGTGATTTCCACACCAAGCCACAGAAGCCCAACCTTCCAGTACTCCATGTGACCTCCCATTCAAGTGGACCCACCTTCCATTGAAAACAGGTTGCATTTCAGCTCTGCTTTCAGTTTAAAAATAAATGTATCACAAAACCAGTTTGGTAGGACAGATCTGTCAGTCTTTGGCTGCAAAAAATTTCACTGCAAAGTTCAAGTTCTGGATGTTGCATCAACGCATACCAGCTCTGGACCAGAGAAGTGAGGGGCCCTGTTTCAGCTACAGAGCCACGTACCCATGCAAGCAATGGGCAGTTTCTGCGGTTGTTCATGTCATTTTATGACCCATCCTCTGCCTTCCCTGGCCATAGGTTGCAGCACTCACATGTTTCTCCAAAACAGCACAGAGGCTACAGCAATGCCACCACTGTGGCCCCACTGCATCACACCTGGGACCGGGATCGCCCCTCATGCCCACATCACATCTCCAACCTCCCACAGCACAACCACCCCAGCAGCACCCCAAAACACACCAAGGCATGAGAGACCCCAGCACTGTCGCTGATTTGGCCACCCTGCCCAGGGCAGCCCCAACACAGGCGAGTCTCCCACCATGTGTCTGGCTCCCTGGTCTCCGCTGCTCAGAGCTGCTTATGTGCTTACAGGCAGGAACACAGCTAAGCAGCTTGCTGTGTCAGGGCCTCCAGTACCCTGTCAGGAGAGCACCCAAGTGCCTGTTGCCCCCTTCCCCAGCTAACACCCTTGCCTCCAGATGTGCTCAGCTAGGGTAAAATTCAAGGTATTTTCAGGCACTTTTGTATATATTTTGTTTTCACGATGCTATACTTTGCTCTGAAGCCACCCAGGTGCCACTTAGCCACCTTACATTTTGGAAAATGCCCAGCTGGCTCAACACTGGTCTGCCTCCAAGTCTGCCTCTCACTGTATGTTAAATACAAACTGACACAGCCAGGCTACCATTAGGCTCCATACAGAAACTGTTACACTCCAGAGATACTTTTTCATACTGGTATGGATCATCTATTGGAATAAAGGACACAACTGAATTTGAAAAGGTGAGGAGGAGTATAAACACCCAACAGCTCTAAACTCTGCAGAAGTGCACAGAAGACCATAGGGCTGCCTTCATGCTTTTGAAAGCACTACCCAAAGGGACTACTCAGGAGAAAGAAACATTAACAGCCTTGAATATTAACAAGTTGGGTTTTTTGCTTATAACCCATTCAGGTGTTACCTGGATCAAGAAAAGAAAATCCAATTTTAAGTACAATTTAAACATACAGTTTAAAATTGCCAGGCCTTTACATATGTGCTATTGCAGTCACCAAGCCCATACTCCCCTCTGCCCTCAAGAAAAGGGAGCTTGATTCATCTTTCAACATCTCAAAAAGATCAACTAATGATTCAGGTCCCAATATAGCAATTATCAGTACAAACAGCATGCAGGTTTATAATACAGATCCAGGCGTAGCTGTGGGGCTGGGAGAGGAAGGGTTTATAAGCTATTACTCACAAGAGCGTTTTGGCAGAAGGCACACTGGATTCATAATGCGGCCTTACAGGGCTCAGGGTTTACAGACATAAGCCTTAGTCAGAAGAACCATCTGGGGTTAAATTAGCTCCCCTTATACAGAAAACATGGATAACAAAGTTTATTAGGTAGGAGATGTTTTCAGTGATGAAAGAAGTAATTGGTGACAAATACATTTAACGGGTATTAAATAAGACCCTTCTATAAATGTTAAATAAGCATCTTCTGGCCAAAATTAACACATTTAAAGTGGACACAAGCACAGTACAACACACCAAACCCCAGCATCTTCCCCTGCCCCAACAAGAAACAAGTGCAGGTGGCTGTATTTTACCTGTACAGACACTTCAAATCAACCTGGTATCATCTGTAACAAAAGGCACCTCATCTATGGAAAATGTATTGATTTGGAAGATGGAGAAGTCCATTAGAGGTTTGGGACATTCAACTGTAGTTCATTAGTCAGTCTGAACACACAAGAGCTCTAATAGCTTGTATCCTGTGCACTAGGGAAATGCAACTAAAGAATAAACTTCCTGAGCAATTAATGGGTAATGATATAATTTGGTTAATCTCATTCGAAAGTAATCTAGAATTGAAAGAGGAAACAGGGTACGCATTTCTCCAGAAACAACAAAACAAACAGCAAAGGGTGCTACCGAGCAGAGTCCCGGCTGGCATTTGCCGGAAGAGATCGGTTCCACCAGAGGAAAAGAAATTGGACTGATTTACATCATTGTAAGAGGTGGCTCTCCAGCTGCAATGCCACAGCACTGGCATTTCTTAGCAATCTCACTCTCCTGCTGCTCTTTACCAATTTAACATTATGCTTACTTACAAATAAGGACCCAGTGAAGTGCATACAAACTGAATATTTGGGAGTCTTGGGTGCAGACAGGACAAAATCAGGACACATGGCCGAGATTAGCACAAGTTACGCCGCTTGTTTAACCCTCTGGAAGTCGCATTCCTTTAGATTAACAGTTGGACGGAACAGAAGGAAAAAAAACCCCTAAGGTTGCTCTCTAACACTGAAAACACTTGGTCCCACTGGACAATGTAGGTTTTTGGTAAAAAATACTGTGTGTTTTGTACAGATTTTCCCTGAAGCCAAATATTTTTAAAACCAAAACTTTCATTTCATGAATCAAGTCTCAGGAAATTCATTTTGGTGCAAAGGTAAAGCTTAACATTTTTATGCCAAACCTCTACTGAAACATTAGGCCTGTCAGCTTTAAAATTTAAGCACACCACAAACTCAAGCAAATGCAAACTTCTGCACCAAATGCAGAACAAAACCCAACACCTGTACTTTCTATTACTAATTTAATTTTTCTATTACTGACTTAAAGAGTGCCTTGAAAGGAACAGGCTCTGGAAAGTACTCACCACCTATCTTGGAACTTCTTCAGAGAAAGTCCACGGGGCTCAATTACCTGGAGGAGAAGACACAAACCAAACATGCTTTACATTACAGCTTTCTTCTAAGTGACAACCTTCCCACTTTTTGGCCTCCCCTGTAAAAACCAATTTTCCCAGTTGAAAAATAAATTAGAAGTAGTCTAATCATGCAAAAACTCTGCTCCAGTTCTTACCATACACTGAGAAACAACTTTGTTACCTGCATTTGCATTTTGTTATCTGTCCTGAAATAGAAAACAGCTCCCATGTTGAAAAATGCTTCTCTCAAATTCAGACAGCACATTCTTTTGGCATTCAGAAATCTGCTGAAATCACCCTTCCTACTTTAAATCTTTTTTGCAAAACTCATCTTTCAAAATAAGCAAGTATCAAGTTCAGATTCAGAAGGTTTGCTTGGCTTATACCTCAAAATATTACTATGCCATGATCTAAAAAACAGGTGAAAAAGAAATAAAATATGAGAGACAGTTTCAAGTTTTCTGGAGCCATTAAGCATTGCTCTGAAAGGTTAGAAATCACTTCTCTTTCTGTTGAGCATGCTTCTCAAGAAAGCAGAGTATAATAATTTGCATCCCTTCAGCATCTGCCAGCTATGAATCCTGAAGGTTCATCAGTGCTTAAGGAGTCACAGATAAGAGCACCAGGAGCCAGCTCACCTGCTCCTGTGATTCCTAATCTCTCAAAATCTGTGGATTAGAAAATTGAATACAAGTGACACTACAATCTCCACTCTCCCACAGAGCTGACCATGATTTCCCCCACCAGCAAGGCCAGGCACAGCTAGGAAGCATTCATCATCTACAGACCCACCACACCAAATTCTTTCCTGCCAGACCCTTGTCTGACCCAGTACCCCCATAACTTCTACAACAGGATTTGGGACCTATTCCCAGGTGTCTTCAGCCCACCCACAACACACATTTGGTCTGCCCAACACAAAACCCCAGCCACTGAGATCCCAGACATTATCATAGCCACCCAACAGTCTTCTTCAACATTTCACCATCCCTACGAGTTTCTTCCTTCCATGATACCATTCAAACTCATTACTGCTTCCCCTAACCCCCACAGACACGGGACAGAGTTTTCATATTTCTCCCTTCACAGCAGTGTTCCAGCAAACCCATTGCGTCAATCTTTCGCCTTCTCTCCAGACCAAACATCCCACTCCTTCCCATCTTTCCTTTTGGGTCCTGTTCTTCACATCCCCACTAGCCTCTCTCATTTTCTCCATCTTCCCCCCAGCTGCAGTGCTCTACACTGGCTCCAGTATTCCAGAGATGCCAAAGCACCAGGAGATGAAACACAGGACACAGCAAGTCCATCCTCCTGTTTACAGAAGACACTTTCCTGCTGCTGGGGCAGGATGATGCTGGAAAAGCAGGGTGTGATCCACCACATTTTCCAGCAGAGCCTCTCCAATCACCCATGGGTAGTCTGTATACCCAACTCATTCACCAACAGTAACTGCAAGCCCATCCTAATGCCTTCATGTGTGAATGATGGAGTCTCCAAGATAATTTTCTGGTGTTGTCCAAAACTATTTGAAAATCTAATCCCAGGTGACCTCCCCTAGTTTGGTGTTACCTGTTGAGCCTGAACCAGTATCTTATCAAATGTATCAACTACAAAAACCCAAGCCACCAGGTCCACCTCTAGAAATCCCCACCCATTACTTCTGAGCTTGATGACATACTGGGGCTAAGCCTGGAGCACAGTGAGCACACCTACACTGCATCATCTATAAGGCAAAAGGATCACCCAAATCCCTTTTCCCTAGCTTCCTTCTGAGAGTAACAAAACAGTGTCAAAAAACTAACTAGGATTGAACTACATCATCTCATCTGCTCTCCTATCCACAAGACCTGTTACCCCATTGGGGTAACACTGGGGTCTGACATGATTTGTTCCAGACTAATCCATCCTGACTGTTGCTCACCGAACACCAGAAGATGCCTAGGTGGGAAATAATATATTAACTTCCAGAAAAATACTTTTAAGTCAGACTGACTGTACTGCAATTCCATCTCCTCCTTTAAAAAAAAAATTAGCACTGTATTTTTTGCTTTTTCATTGTTATTGAAACCTCAAAAATTCTTCACAGGTTTTCAGAAATAATCACCCAGAAGAAACTGTAAAGAACCAAAGTCAAGCAGCCAGATGAAATCCAGCTCCTTCTACAAATCATGAAAGTGAGACAAGTGTCACAGAGTTTGAGGTTAGGGCATCCCACCCTGCTGTGGGGTCACCAGCCACCCCCTGCAGGTGCCCTCTCCCCTGATCATTGGTGGTGCTGGTTCACTGGCTTTTACTGAAGACTAACCCTGCCACATGCATCCTCCCAACATCTGGGGGGTTGTTTTAAACAAACCCTTTCCTAAGGCTGATAGAAACGGGAAGTAAAGGGCTTTTCTCTTTGTTTTATGGGAGTGATCCTAAATGGTTCTTTTCCTGTTTTATCCTGGTATCTTCCCTTGTCAGTGCCAGATGTTAACTACATCAGTCTTCTACTCACAGGAAGGAAGATCCAAGACTCCATGAAATTTTCTATTACTCTTGAGATCCTTGGGTAGATGCTCACAAATGGTGCAACTTGGCAGCAACACAAGCATTTAAACTACTCATTTTCGTGCTTTTTAGGAAGAGAACCTAGTATCCTTATTTCATACAGGGACGGATGTTATCTCTCCAAGCTGCCAACCCAAAGAAGCCCAATGGAAAGGCAAGGTAAGGACTGAAAACAGTCAATGGCAAAATAGGAGATACAACCCAGAAATTCTTCTGATTTCTGTGTTGCTGATACAAAATTGTTGTGCCTCCTCCATTCAACAAAGCTTACAGAATAGTGCAAGATTATTTGGCCATATTTATATGTTCAAAATAAATGACATTTCCTAGTCCTTGGCTAGATTCTGGCATCCCAAAAGACTTTTGGAAAAAAAATGGCTAAATTCTTATAATCATACAAAATCTTTGCTCCAAACCGATGGAGTAGAGGGTAACCAGACAGCACATGTTAATCTCTATGTTAACAGCACATGAAGCATTTAAATCCACTGCCAATTAAAAGCAAGGTATAATTGAATTAGCAGAAGCAACTTATGACAAATTCAATTACAAGGCAGAATGAAAGGAAGAGATGTCAGTAACTTTTGAGGCTGGGCAGGAAGAGGTGAGAGTGCATCAATCTACTATTTTCAGAGCTGCTAGCAAAAAGCTTAAGGAGGAGACGGCTCTCAAGACTCATTTGTAAAGATCCTCCTTATAAACAGAATTTCATCGACAGACCAGAGAAACCAAGGTGACAAATTACTTTTTTCAGACCATGCTTTGACCTATGTGGCAGGAGTAAAACTCCCTCCCAATGGTCATGCATCACCCACCCCTGACTTCCCCACGGGCACTGCAGCTCTGCCACATTCTGCAGTGTCCTTGGACCTGCCTCAGCTTGGACCAAAACCACTGTAGACACCTTTATTTTAATTTTGTCCTGTTTTCCAAAGTGATTTTAACCCCATTCCTTCAAGTCACAGAAATTAATACATTAAGCAGATTTCTTTCTATGTGATGGAGAAGGCTCAAGTGTTGTGGGCACTTTTCTTCCTTTAATGGCCACTATTTTACCCTGCCTTGTTCTAGCCTCCATTTGTTCCCCCTTGGCTGACACTATCCTTCATCAATCTCGATGCTGATTACCAATCCAGCCCTCCCACACCTCCAAGGTTCAGCTTTCACAACTGCATTAAGACAAATCAATACTGTTATTAATGTTGCTATGTTTGTGTATGGTGTGACTTGCCTGCAAACACCACATGCAGCAGTGGAGATAAAACCCAGCACTACACAGAAGACTGCTCTCCCTTATTTGCAATTTCTTTTACAACTAAACTCTGCTATTTTATAAAATTTTGGGTTTTTTTCATTTTTCTTGCAAATGCAAACTGGTGAGGGCTTGTAGGACATACAATTTTGCAGTCCCCTTTACATGTGGGTAGAAATAGTCCATGGACTATAGCCAAGAAACTAACAGTCCTGCCACTTGCTATGCAGTTGGGTTAGATATTGTTGTAGGTTCCTTCCAACTGAACTATTCTATTCTAATTTTCCTCCAGTCCGCTCCAGCCAGCCAGTACATCACCCACAAGCGCACCTCACCTTTGGATGCTGCACTTCTACACATGCTTGTGGACGCATTCAAACTGGATGCGTGCCAGCTGACAAACTGCTCTGGAGTGTGTCCACCTACTCCTTCCTCCATAGCATAGTTCTCACTCACATCTTGCCCCCTTTCTCCTCCTCGCCTTTCACACCAGGTCTGTGAGCCACCACGCTCAGAGCCACCCAGCAGCTCTGAGAGGTCCCACCTCAACATACAACTCAACCCACAGTGCAAACTCCCAGAGGACTCTAACCTCCAGGTTTGTTTTCTTTAAGGCCCCTACATCCCAAAAGAAGGGTCAGTCAGTTTACCCAGTCCCTCAAAGGACTGTCACTACTCAAGCTCACTTGCAACCTGCCTAAGCCCCAGGGATCACTTACACCTCATGGTGTGGTTCAGAGCCCAGATGGCACCGCAGCCCAGTGCGGGCTCACTTCCCTGGGCGCCCAGGCAGGCCACCTGCCCAAAGCAGGACACTAGCCCATACTGAGCTCGGAGTGTTACAACTGGAGATTTAGACACCGGCTAATGTAAAAGCTAATACAAGTGCTCTCCGCAATACCCTGCTATAGCTGCCTGCAGATACCCCTCAGGCTGCGTGTCCCCTGAGGGGCTGGTACTGCCTGGAGAGATTTCTGTTGCGCCAACACAATAAACTGCTGCCCCCCCATTCTCTGCCTTCAGTACTGCTAGCAGCACCTCTCCCATAACTATTTCACCTAAGAAACGTGCTTGCAGCACCCCCAGAAATGTACTATAATCCAACCACTGCAATGGGAAACCCATGTACAGGGACCCTACAGCCTCCCCAGGAGTATCTCAGGAAGCGTATGGTTAAGGTGGAGACTGAACGTA